TTTTCTGCAGCCTCTCCCCAGCGGTAAATCGAGTAGCACATGCTCTATGCGGTCCCAGTGTTGTTAACCCCTCATATTGAGCACAGTAGCTAAATTGCTGGTAGCAGTACCTTGTAAATCGTTTATAATGCCACGGAAAAAGCAGTGATTAGCCGTCAGTGATAAAGCCTAGGTTTGACATCCGAGCCCGGCACTCAAGCCACTGCAACGAGCAGTGCCGAATCGCACATAGTTTGTACATTTTGTTTCCCGTGTCTCCATTCCTTTCATTTCTGCCTCATCTGTGTTCTCTCTGCTCGATTGATTTTGGCACTGACTGCTCTGATGACGCTTTTATGGCCGTTGTGTAATCTTTTTGCATGGGGATTGGGGGATCTCGACTTCGCTGCAGGGAGAGAAGATGCAGCACTTAATGGCAGAGCAAACGCCACCCCATGACCACGTGCCCTGGGTAACAATCGACAGGGAACAATCGGTAAGCACCAACGGCTTTCATAGTTCTCCTGCTTCTTTTTACCGTTTCATCTGTCTTCCTTTCCCTTCCTCCAGTGTCCCTACTTGTGTCGTGCCTTTGTGTGGATCTGCTGGGTTGGTGCTGCTGCTTTCCCGTGTTGGTGGTTTTTCGTCCTTCCCATTTGCATCAGCTGTGTTGCGTTGTTGCGTACACCGCGTTTTCCGGCCTCAGGCATTGGCTGAGAAGGACCTCCGTTGTGCTATCTGCACCTCATCTGCGGGAAAGGAGGATGCCCTCTCGGAGTTCTGTGCAAATAAATCAGGATGCGACAGACAGAGGCAGCAACAGCCCGAGCCGCAGGAGGAGGCTCTATCTGTGGCAGTAGATGAGGTGTATTACAGTGCGTCTCAGGACGAAGTCTAGTATCTTTGTCGTCCCACCAAAAATATATGGTCAAAGTAGAGCAACTATACTTTGCGCATTCAGTGTGTAGTGTCTAAAACGTCTACTTATGTCTTCAAATGAGCCTCATTAAATCCACTAGGCCCTAAGAACCCCCAAAGGCTCGCCGCTCTTTGTGCGGCTTGGAGGATGAAAGAAGACCTTTATTGCTGTGTGCAACGGGGCCGTTTCTGGCATTGGGACCAGGGGGCTGGATTGAGGCCCCTGTGAGAACTGAATTTTCTTGGGGTATATCCATAGTCTTTGTTCAGGAAATACTCTTTGACAGTCTTCTGTGTGCATGCCCACACACAGGGAGCCAGGTAGGTAGGTATATGAGAACACCTTTCTATCATGTATCATCTTTTCGTGACTATACCTATCTGTACTTGTGTGTTTGACGTCTGCGCGGTTCTGGGTCAACGCGTACCTGACTTGCCGCATTTCCGCTTGGTCCTATACATAACGGCACCTGAAGAGACACCAGGCAGCGGCTGTCTCCACTGTCTCTGTCTCCTGACTCAGCTATTGCGACCTAAGACCTCCACATACACACAAAAGGAATATGCTTCTTGCGTGTGGCTTTGCGCGAAAGCATGATGCTTCGTGTGTACTCCGTGGTAGTAGCGTTCGGGGTTCCCGGTTGGGCACTCGGATACGGGGTTTAGTATTAGAATAAATGTTTCTTCCTCCCCTCTAGGTATCTGATTTGGGGATACACAGTGCAGGAGTCATGGGTAACTAGGGTCCAGGGCCTTTAAATATGTACTGGACACTGCATGTTCCAGGTTGCTCCGTGTGCTGAGGTCGGGTACACTCTATGTTGCGCAAACTGTCGCTAATCTGCTGTATGAGGTATCACGACATTGGCCAAGCTTCTGCCTCTCAGTGTCCTAAGTCCGTGGCCACGGGCTTCTGTTTTCCCCGTGCATTGTTTATTGCATTCGCTCTTCGAGTAGCGATCCCGTGTCATTTCCTTGTTTCGCACTGCCCTCCGTGTTCCTTTCTCGAGGATTCTGTTGTATCCCCTTTAGTCTCCTAGTTCTGTCGCCACATAGATGGAGCACTGAAATTGGCATCGCCTTCGAGTGGCCACTAGCTGGTAATAAGAATGCACTAAGACCCCCACTTCGACGGGCAGAAGCAGCCACACTAACAGAAGGGGGAGAGAGACACGAACATTCGGACAGATAGAATAAGCGGACGGAAGAGTCGGAAAGGGAAAGTTGGGAAGATCCGGAAATGCAAACCAGCAAGATCGCTGAGGGTGGGGCAGAGTAGAGTAGTCATACAGGACGCGGTTGAGCAGAGAGCGTGGTCGACCACTCGAAGAAGGCGAGGAAACTTAAAAAGCAGCCAGCTGAGTATCGTAGACGATTCTTCATACAATGTATCGGACTCTAAAAGCACTTGCTATGGCAAGAATATGCCCCCTGCGGGTGCGCGGGCAACCCCACATTTTTATAGCGCTAATCCTAGTGTTTCCGAGAGGAAGCCTTGCCTCCAGAGCGCAGCAGAACTAGATTTTTCTGTCTGCTTTTTTAAAAGAAAGGCATGACCTTCACCGACAGTCCGTCTCAAACCGTTTTAGTCCGAACAGTTTTTCACTTTCCTTGTACGTAAGTGTCCTGGTATGTCCACATCCCACTCGTGATACTTCTCATCTCTATGCTCACGCTCCACAGGGCTTAAAAATGGCAAAAGAGAAACAACCAGCGTTGCCGCCACGTCCGAGTACTAATCCAGAGGTTCGCTCACAGCTGCACAATAATGATTTTGCGCACAGGTTGTATTCCTATTTCTCGAGCCAGCCTTACGCTACAAAGAAGAGAACAGCTGCACCATGACGTCAGTGCTCCACAAACTGTTATCGACACTACTAGTGCATGAACAACTGCTCGGGAGTGCCTCAGTCCGGCACGAGTGCAATGCAGGACCCAGTGCTTGTCTGGGTTACATCTTTGGGTTATTAGGCAGAATATCATTTACCTTCCGAGTTTAGTAGGCGTAAGCTCTAAGCCTTTAGCTTTCTTCACGATGCTCAAGAAGAAGGGTATGTCTTAACTAGCACATAGTTCTGTGCTAAACTACTCTGGGGTATTTTCTACTTCACAACTTACGTAGCAAAGAATTACCATATTGCTTAATTGCCTCGGTTGTTTGTATATCTTATTTATTGCTTAATGCTAGTTTAATACGATAAAATGAATGCTGTGCGCGTGTGCGTCAGATGCCATGTGTAACTACTGCGGATGCTCAGATTGCATAGAGGGTCCAGTTATGCGCCCTCTAGCTGACCCTCCTTCTCATGCCGGCATCCTGAGAGGCTAGAACAGCGAGGGATGGTAGCCTTTATGGAAAAGAAGTCAATAACTTTCTATTAAGTTCGCACTGATTCTGGAGTTAGCTATATCCCCGCAGAGACCATAGACGGAAAGCAACGTAGGCTGTCGTTCCCCACGTTTAGTGGCTACAGTGCAGCAACAGTTGAGTCAATTCGACCGAAAGGGGTACCTACTCTCTCCGTAATGCACCCTGATGTTGCTTCCACAACGTGTCTCTATAGGGAGGCACTTATAGCCCTATATGCAAAATAGGAAGTTATCTGGCGCCCCTCCAGAAGAAGTCTTCTTTTTCCTTGCTCTCGCTCCTCAGCGTTTCGACACAAGGTGGAAGGGATCGCTAGGGTGCACGAGGCCGCACCCTTTATGCAAAACCGAGCATTCTTAACTGGTTACACAAAGCATCCGGCGCACAGGCATACAACATTGATTCTTATGTTGCTGAACTAGCGCTATTCCCCACCCTAGGGGATATACGAGCACCCAAAGTGAAGGGTCATATCTTTACTAAATTGTGGTTGAATTTAAGTGGTCTTCTGCGAAGCGTCATAGCGTACTGTACCTTAGTCCGCTAAACCTGTGGTCGTTTGAGGATCTTAAAAGTGCTGTTAGTGATGTTATTGCTGCCTCTACTTTAGAAACAGTGACAAATGTGTGATAACAAATATAGATTAATGGTTGTGTGGATTTATTTGTCCCCGATTTTTGGATGGGTTCAGTAACCAGTATCCCCTGAATGGTAACTTTTCGGCTGAAATACACCGAGACGAGTTGCCAGTAAGAGTATTGTCTCCTTCATAGATGAAATGGGATCCACCAGAGAAACAGGCCCGCTTCTTTTGCTGTGTGGCATCCATAAATCAAGCAAGAAGAGCCAAAAGGGACTCAACACTGTCAGCTAACAATTCTCTAGTTCCAGGTGCTCTTGCTGCGGCGACACAAGATTCCTCTCGGCTGTCCAGAGCACACCGCCTAAAAAGCAGAGCCTAAAGCACAGTAGAAACAAAGAGCAACAATTGTGGTCAAGGGGAAAGTGCAGAACTTGGCCTTCCCAGCGCGTCTGCGGCTGCAGCTGCCGCAGCCGCAGCAGCCGCAGCCGTGCAGCTGCGCCTCGCTGCTGTGCCCCCTCTTCCACTGCTGAGGCTCCTGTCATATTCCTGCAGCACTTTTCATTGGTAGCAGCAGCAGTAGCATCTAGGGTGTACGTCCACTTTAACCGCAGTAGTAGGCTTCTCAGAAGACGCTGCTGCTGCCGCTGCAGCAACTGCGGACGCCTAGCAGCAGCGGCTGTGCTGCTAGGCGCCACTGCCGCTTCGTAACACAACTTACTTCTCCCGAGAGCCTTTGCTTAACTGGAGGCCCCAGTAGCGGCTGCAGCGGCGTTAGCAGCGGCAGCAGCAGCTGCTGCTGCTGCACGACGTGCTGGCGGGGGGTACTCAGCAGAGCAGGAAGTCGCAGTTGAAAGCCGCTGCGGCGTCATTAATTGCCGCTGCAGGAAGGCAGACGGCCTAGCGGCGGCAGGAGGAGGGGGATTCTGACCCTTCAAGAGGTTCCTGCAAGCTCGTCTGCGTGTGTGTGAGCAAGCAGCCGCTGCAGCGGCAGCAGTTCAGAAGGCAGCAGCACCAGCCAGCCGCAGGGGTGGGTGGCAGCTGCAAGCGTCCCTAGCTGGCTCCTGACAGCAGTGGGCTGCGCCGCCACGTGAAACAGCTGCAGCAGCAGCGCCTTCAGCAGCAGCAGCAACGATAGCAGCTACAGCTCCCGAGATGATTCCACAGCAGCAGGAGGGCACTGAACAGCACTGGCAGCAAGTTCTACAGCTGTTGGCTCACCCCAGCAAAGCACAGCAGGTACCTCTAACAGGGCGGAAAACGACTTGGAGCGAGCAGCTCTGCTGCCTACAGCACGAGCCATTAGACATGCCAGAAGGCACAAGTCAGAAGGCGTTTGCAGTAGAATGGCGCTCTCCAATTACAGACACCTCTAAGCGGATCCGCCATACCTCTATTGACACGGCCTTCTCGCGTTCGAAGCAGCCTCAGCGGCGCAAACGTTCATGTGCATGTGTATGTGTTTGTGTTTGCATGTGTCGCAGTTGGCTTGTTTGTCAGAGTTACAGCAGTGGCTATCTTTTGCGACTGATGAGCAACTGGGAACCTTCCCACTACAGCGTGTGCTGTATGCGCTGTTCATGCTCCTCCAAGGGAGGACTAGCAGCACACATGCTGCTGGCGGTCCTACCCCTGATGCACATCTTGCCACGGAGACAGCAGCAGGAGAGAGCGAAGATGCAGGCTGTTCAGAACATGCTAGAGCTGCCGTTGCGAGTGAAGGGATTTCTCAAGAGGCGTATGATGAGCAACTGGCTAGGGAGCTAGCTGCTGTGGGTGACGATGACGTAAGGATGGCTACTTGGCGTCTTTTGCCAATCCTCTTCGTTTTTCTCTGCATCTTCGTGTGGTGTGCTCCTGCCTGTCTCTAACGTCTCCACACACTGGAGGAGGCTGTCAGTCTCCTTCACTTCGCATGCGCATGCTTCCTTGTCTGCGTTGCTGCGTGCTGGCTGCCGCCTCGGTAGTTTACACACTTGTCTCTTATGACGCAGTCCTGCTGTCCATTTCCTTCGCCTTATGCCCGTTCCTTCCACATACATGACATGCATTATTGCAGCCGATGTTTCAAGGCTTAAATAGCTGCCGCACCTAATTGCAACAAGAAAAGGCAGGGGGGCGCTCTATGCATGCGGCTGTCGAGTTCGGCGGAATTTTTCTTGCAGAGCTTGCTTACACAGAAGGACCTGCTGATTGGCTCCTGTATATACTTGTTGCTCGACGTTCTGCCTTTGCAAACTGCAGCGATCATCGCGCGAACCCGTAAGAGAAATGTTCAAAGCCTCGAGTGGATTGTGTCTGCTTCCTTTTTTCCCTCTTTCTTTGCTCGTCTCATTGCCTTCCTGCGCTTCTGCGCCTCTTATCGTCAAACTCTGCTGCATGTCTGTTCTCGCGCGTTGCCTCCTCCATTGGTCTTCTCCGCCTGTGATGGGCAGAAGGCCTCTTTTTCCTTCTTAAGCGCATTTCCGAAGGGCGCTCCTGCGGGAGCTGCCATGAGTTGCCCAAACGAAATCATTTTTTGCGAGTTTCCGTCCTGCAGCTGAGCCTGCCTTTCGCTGCAAACATTTTTTCGCAGAAACATGACCCACATGGGAGTGTATTGGGTATGTTTGTGCTGCGTGGGTGTGCAGCTGAGTACATGGAGGCGCTTAAGCATCAGTTGACCAACCTGCAGTACATAGATACTGGAGAGCGTTTTCTTCTCATTCTGTGCCGCTTAGTTGATGAGCAGCCCTTGCTGTCTTTTCTTTTTGGAGCAGCTGCTGCCCTTCTCCCCATATTAGACTTTTTCCAGCTGGACATACAGCGCAGGGCCGTCCGTGCTGCAGCGAAGGCGCTCGCCGCTGCTGCTGCTGCAACGGAAAAAGCCGCAGCTGCTGCAGCAGCGGATGCTGCCATTCGGAAGCGCTCGCTCTCCTTCCTTCAGAATCAAGAACAGCAGCAGCAGCAGCAGCAGCAGCAGCAGCAGCAGCAGCAGCAGCAGCAGCTCAGCATGCAGCCCCCGACTGCAGCAACAACGGCAGCGAGCGGCAGCAGCGGGAGTAGCAGTGGCAACAGTAAATACACCGCGCTGCGGGACCAAGTGCAGCAGTTACTGCAGCAGGAGCAGCAGCAGCAGCGGGAGCTGCAGGAGCAGCTAGAAGACTACAGAGACCTCATCTCTCCGACGCTTCCGTTCTTTTCTTCCCTCCTGTCTTACAAGGACGAAACTTTGTTGCAAGTGTGTTCTCGCTTGCGGTTTCACGGCTGCTGCTGGTGATCTGCTGCCGCTTGTGAGACCCCGCCGTCTCACGAAGGCGTTTTCTTTTGCCGATTTTTGCTGCAGGGGGCCTGTCAGATTTGGCGTTCTATTGTAACTGTTTTTGTCTGCATGCACACGGCAGCAGCCGCTTCTGCTGCTGCCGTCGCTGGCTTGGAGTTCGCCGCGGCTCGAGGTGAGTCAGCCCGACTTGCAGCCTTGTTTTTCCCCCGTGCTTGCACTGCCAGAGGGGCTGGCGTTGCTGCTCTTGTTGCGTGACGCGTGATCCACCTTCCTGGCTTTACGCGTTGTTGCTGCGCCGCAGCTGTAGATCCAACAGCAGATGGTGACGAATGCAGCACGCCGCTCAGCGCAGCTCCTCAGCAGCACGCCGAAGGAGATGAGCAGTGGTTCGCTGCTTGCCAAAGTGCCTATGCAGCGCGTATGAAGCTGCTAGCCAGTGAACTGACTGCTGCGGGAGCAGGAGCAGCGGTTGCGCTGCAGGGTTTGATTGCGAATGCAGTTGCTAACAGCAGCAGCAGCTCCCTTGCCTGGCAGCAGCAGCTGATGCTACAAGATGGATTCTATGTGCTCTCCGTCTTTGCCGCCTACTCGGATGCTGTTGCTGCTGAGCTGCTGCAGCAACATACCCGAAGTACCGCATTTCACGATGCCGCCAAGAGACTGGTTCGCTTTTTCCCCCTTTTTATCTGGGTCCTATTGCGTAGTAACGTCCTTAGGCTTCCATCGCCTTTTTGCAGCGCTCGATCGACGAGAGAGTGCCAGTGCAAGTTACAGAGAGGGCTTATGGCTTAGAGGCCTCCACCAGACAACATCTTCTTTGCCTTCCTGCTTCACGTTTGGGGATGCAGAGTTGGCTCCTCCTGATGTGTGGGTATGAACTCAGGTTCAGAAGCAAGAGATGCTGTTGCTTGAGGGCATTGCGGCGTTTGGGGTGTCTCTGCTGCCGTCAGTGCGCTTCCAGAGACCTCTTCTGGTGCAGAACGTGCAGCATCAGCCTCTGCCTCGTAAACAAGTCGACGAAGAAGCAGCAGCTGCCGCAGATGTACTGACGGTGGATGAGAGCCGTGCTGCTGTCTTCTTTGAGTCTCCTGAGCTCCTTGGTCGCGCTTTGCAGTGAGTAGAGCTTCGCGCTTTCAGGCTAAGGGAGGGCCATATCGTAGCGAGATCTTCCCCCAGGTGTATACGCACAAAGAAGCAGGACTGAATGTTATGAAAGAATAAGGGTCCGCAACGAGAAAAAGAAAAACGCCGCCACACTTTCAACGCGTGTTTTTTGCGTGAATGTGCTGCTGCTCAGGACTATGGCAGCGCCTCTGCTACCCCTGCTGGAGTCTTCAGTAACCACGCATCTCTGTCGCTTCGTATTGCAGCTGTTACTTGCCGCTGCATGCACAGCAGCAAGCGCGCAAAACAAGCAGCAGCAACTGAAGGACCAACTGCTGCAACACATTGATCTTAAAACCCTCGGAGAAATCTGCGCGCATGCCTTGCACAGAAAACTTCCGGCTGCCGTTGTAAGCCTCCGTTCTTCCTGCCGCTGCTGCAGCTCTTGCTGCTGCAGCTCCTGCTTCGATGAGTCTGCCATCCCAGCTGCAGACGTGAGTGGTTTTGCTCGCTGCTATTTCTGATGCAGACTTTTGTCGTCCTGAGCCTCGTACTGCAGCTGCTGTTGCAGCACGGAGAAGCTGCAGCAGCAGCGCTGCGGGCGTCAGGTGTAAGAGATCGCATAGAAGAGGATTTTGAGGACCTTAACTGCAGCAACAACTCGTCGAGCGAACGCGAACTCCTGCCTCAGACCTTCTCCGATCCGGCTGCAGAGGCTTCTTTTCGCACTGTCTGCAGGGCAGCAGCAACGGCAGCGGCAGCAGCAGCAGGCGAGTCTGTAGCCTCCCTTGAACTCTCGGATTTGCTGCGGCGTGCTCGCAGGGCTTGTCTCTCGCTGTTTGCCCAGCACCAGCAGCAGCTGTTGCAGCGGCAGGAGCAGCAGCACGTGTCTCCCCGAAGCCTTATAGCGCCGTGCAGCACGCAGCTGCATCTGCAGCATGTGGCCTCCTACTTGCTGCAACAGGAGCCGCAGCTGCCTGAACACACGAAGCAGCAGCAGCAGTGGGCAGCCTTGGTCGAGCTGCGGAAGCTGCTCGAGGCTCCCCAGGGTGTCTCCGCATGTGACCTCATCAGCTCGCGACTAGCCAGTGCTCTTCATGGCTACCTCCTAGGCTCCAGCAGCAACAGCGCGAGCTCTGGCTCTCGTGCCTCTACGTATTGCTGCAGCAATTGCCAGATCAAGCCTTCGCATCTCCGGCAGCGCGGACTCCTCTTTCTGCGCTGTTTCCTCTTCCCGCTGACTGAGGAGCCGCCTCAGCAGCGAGGGCTTCTTCTGGAGGGTGTCGATTGGTCTGCTGCTTCTCCTGACGCGCTGCTGCGGCTGGCGACGCTTGCAGCCAAGTGCCTGAGTCGCGTCGAGCAGTTTCTCGTGTTGCCGCAGCAGCTCCCTTCTGCAGCTGCAGCCGCACGCGACGTGCTGCCTCCCCATTTGCGAGCTTTGCAGCCTGCGGGGGCAGCTGGGGTGTCCAGACACCAGCTGTATCGAGGGGGTGTGTCGGTTCTGCAGCAGCGGCCTCGAGGAGGCGGAGCTCCTCGGGGGATTCGCGCCTTTTATCAGCAGCAGCAGCAGCCCTTGTCGCAGCATCCGGGGGAACTCAGACGGCAGCAGCAGCTGCAGCAGCAGCTCCTGCAGCAGCCTGATCCCCTCCTGGTGATGCAGGATCTGCAGCGAGATATCCTGGTAGTGGCTCGTGACATGAGCAGCGATTCAGCGTCATCCCCGACCCACGCCAGTGCTGCGGCTGCCCAAGCTTCTCGCCGTGTCGCGCAGACTGCCGACTCGCCTGCTGTATCTTCCACCGCTGCTGCTGTCGTGCATGCAGCAGCGGAAACTGCAGCATTGGAAACTGCGGCATTGGAAACTGCATCGGAAGCGTTGCAAACGGGCATAAGGCCCTCGCGAAGGAGATTTCGGAGTCGCACGGGGGGGGGGCGGCGATCTCCTGCAGCGGATGCTGCAGAGGCGGTAGGAGCGCTCGAGGCAGCAGCAACAACAGCAGCAGCAACAACAGCGGCAACAACAGCAACAGTAGCAGCGGCAGCAGACGAAGCTTCAACAACAGGAGCTTCCTCAGCTGCAGCAGCAGCGCCGGCTGGAACGAGGAGGCAAGCAGCTCAGGAAGCAGCAGAAACTTTGTCGAGAAGACACAAAGAGCCAGCAGCAGCGCAGCAGCCCGTTGCTCGCAGCATGCGGTCGAAGGCAACCGCGAATGCCATTGCAGCGGGCAATACCATCGGCAGCAACAGCGGGTGTAGTGGTGGAAACAGTAGCGGGGGCTGTTTGACAAAGCGTCGCCGTGGGCAGCCAGGGAGCAGCACCAGTAACACCCCCCCACCTCCACTTCCCGGCACAGAGGAGGCGTCTGCAGGGGTCTTGCGGGGAGATAAAAAAGGCAGCAGGGAGGCATCGCAGAGCTGCCGAGGGGCAGTGTCTACAGCACCCTCAACATCAGCAGTCCCCGCTGCGGCAACTGCTCAGCGGCAGCCGCTGCAGCAGCGCAGCAGCGCTGCAGCAGCAGCAGCAGCAGCGGCAGCGGCAGCGGCAGCGGCAGCTAGCGGGAGTGGGAGTGGCTCAGGAGGAGGACGTGGCTTGAGCACGATGCAGCAGCTGCATCAACTTGTCTTCCAACATCGCAGGGGCGATATTCTTGGGGAGTTGCTTACGTGGGGTCGTCGATTTACAGGCAGCTGCGGCGGAAACAACAGCAACGCGCTCCTGGTGGACTGCAAAGCTCCTTTGTCACGCGTAGAATCTGAAATAAAACGAGCAGTGCAGCAACAACGGGCTGCTGAGCGGCTGGGGCATCGGAAGCCGCAGCAGCAGCAGCAGCAGCAGCAGCAGCAGCAGCGAAAGCAGGACGAAACTGAAAGCAGCGGAAGCGCGGGAGGAGCTTCCCTTAGGCGGCAGGGAGGGTGGGGGACCCCCCGAAGACGTGAAGGCAGGGAGGCATCTGCTTCAGGAGATCAGGAGCAGAGACAGGAGCAAGAGCAGAGACAGGAGCAGGAGCAAGAGCAGAGACAGGAGCAGGAGCAAGAGCAGCGACAAAAGCAGGAGCAAGAGCAGCGACAGCAAAATGAGGAGGAGGAAGAAGAAGACCCTTCAGCCGGCAACGACTTGATGGATATTGACACCCACCTCAGGACAGGTACTTGAACTGCAATTCCTGGAGCTTTTTTATGTAGCTGTTACGCCTATTTTTTCCTTCTTTGTTCGCTTTTGTTGCCAGTTCGCTTTTTCGTTCTGCTGTGTCTAGCCATGATGCGTGTCGCAGGCAGGCGAGCGGCAGACGGCATGCGCGGATTGAGGGGTAGCGTCGTTAGCGATGAGGAAATCGTTAGCAGCAGTGGAAGCACCAGCAGCGACGATGAGGGCGCTGCCTTGATCTTTGAGGGGGCAGACCTTGGAGACAGCAGCCACAGCCACAGCAGCAGCTGCAGCAGCAGCACCAGCAGCGGCAGCAGCGAAGACGAGGGGGAAGCGAATACAGCCACGGTAGTACAGGAAGAATCCTTGCTGAGGGATGATAATGATGCAGCAAGTCATTCGGCAGAACGTCCTCCGGCTGCAGCCGAGACAGAGCTTGCTGAAGACGTTGGCTTGGAGTCGCAAGACATTCCACAGCAACAAGAAGGCTTATTATCAAGTGGCGAGAGACCAAACAGCAGCAGCGGTAGCAGCAACAACAGCAACAGGACTATTACTACTACTACTACTACTACTACTACTACTACTACTACTACTACCACAAACACTACCCCCCTTAGGGGCGGTAGTGTTTGTACGGCATCCAGTGTGGATGCCATTCAGCTGTACATTCGCTCCGTGCCTGTGCCGTCACAGATGCCCCTTATAGAGGCCCTCGCATTGTATGAAGGCTGTGTGGCTCTCCCTAGAAGCAGCAGCGCGCGAATCGGTGGCAGTGGTGGGTGGTATTCCTCTGCAACTGCTAGCACGACACACCGCCGCTTGCAGCAGATGCTTGAGAGGGGCGGCAACACGTTCGAAATGCTGCTCTCGACCACGCTGCTGGCAGACTTCCTCCCAAGTAGCAGCAATAGTCTGAGACAGCGCAGGCACGGCGAGGCGTTGCTAGGCAGGAGCAACGGCTCCGGCAGCAGCAGCAGCAGCAGCAGTGGCCCCAGCAGCAGCAGCAGCAGCAGCAGCAGCAGCAGCAGCAGCAGAACCGCTGCGGGTGTCTCTGAGGAGGAACTTGCTGTTCCCCGTGTATTCGCTTCTGCCCCTGCAGCGCGTGCTTATCCAGAAAACAAAGGCGGCAGCGGCGACGACCTCTTAGAGGTGGATATGAGTGGACGTCTGTGCATTATGACTGAGGAAAGTCTCGGGACTGGGAGCCATTCAAAGGGCGGAGCGAAAGCGGCAGAAAAACAGGAAGTTGAGACGCCACGCAGTAACAACTCCCTCTGGGAGGTAGCGCACACCATCGATTACAGGGTGCTGCCTGCAGTTCTGAAAAGCAGCAGCAGCATCCCTGGCGGCAGCAGCAGCACCACTGCCTCCTCCTCTCCTGATCTAGAAGGCCTTCGACTTGCGCGAAACTCGCCGCTTGTTGCTTCGGTTGTGCATCCAGCTTTGGCTGCAGAGCGCTTGCTGCAGCAGCTGCAGCAGCAGCAGCAAGAATCGTTGCTGTCTGATCCGTGCAGTCAGAGTGAGCAGCAGCTCTTGGAGCAACCTCAAGATCACCCCGAGCAGCAGCACGCATTGGAGGACCTGGCGTGCTGGTGTGTATCGCGAGCATATCTAGAGACTGCGTCATCTGCGAGGTACCTCTTCGGGGAGTGCAACAGCTGGCATCGCAAAGACTTGTTGCTGCAAGCCGCTTCTGACGAGGCAGCGCCTCTTTTCTACGGGCTGCCTTCTGCGACCGTCTCTGTCTCCCGCTGCCTCGATGGCAATAGCAGCTTTCGCTGCACTGGCTGCGGGAGTGAATTGAGTGTCGAGGCTGCAGTTGGGGCAAAGGCCTCTGCTGCAAGCCTTCCGGCAGCAAGTGCTTCGCCTTCTGCTGCCGTGCCTGCTGCAGCGGGTGGAAATCTGGTGTTGCCAAGCGTCTTCAGCGGGGCAGCGGCAGAAGCGGCGCCTTTTGTTATCTTGCTGCTGTACTTGCACAACCTTCTTCAGCACTTGCCGACTCTGCGCGCATACGCCTGCATCGCCAGCAGTTGCTGCAGCGGTGGAAGCACGGAGCAGTCACCAGAGGACACGAAGGAAGCGGCAGCAGCGACTCTCTTCAGAGCTGCAGCCTCAGCTCGTAGCCTCTCCGCGCATCCTTTAGGTCTTTGCAGCTACAGCGGTGGCTACCCCAGAGTGGATGCAGATGCAGCAACTGCAGCAGCAACTGCAGCGGCAACTGCAGCAGCAGCAGCAGATATCGCGTGTTGGAGCAGCGTTGCTACAAAGGCTGGGGCTGTCTTGGCAGATCCTGTGACTGCCGTTACCAGCAGCAGCAGGACCCCTTTCTGGCTCAAGAGGCTGATGTTTTCATGCCCCTTCCTCTTCCCGCTGCAGCTCCGCGTCTTGCTGCTGCTACAGCAGCAGCTGGGCAGCCTGCGAGGACAGCACATCTATCGCGTCAGGCTGAAAGAGGCAGCTGAGCTTTTGCTAGGGCAGCGCCAAGGCGGCAATAACACCAGTGCTGCACAGCCTCTGTTGCACCTGCCAGCGGCTGGAATAAGCAGCAGCAAGGCTCTGCTACTGCAGCGACTGAGGCCAGCGCTACAGCTGCAAGGCGCTGCATCTGGCGGCAGCAGCAGCAGAAGAGAGCAGGAAATACTAGCAGACTTGGAAGGAGTAAGATCACATAGAGGCAGCACCGCATCGGCGCGACTCGCTGCAGGGCCTGCATAGTTGGCTGTAGCACACACTGGGAAGGGCAGATACACACACAGACAGACATAACATTTTATGCACACAGACGCACATGCATATAGGTGTCTACATACATACACATATATACATATATTCATACATATATATACACATACATATATGTGCGTATACATGCATACACACATATACATGTATACATGCATGTACATATATATACGCAAGCATACATAGATCCATACATGCATACACCTATATACATCCATATACATACATTCACACATGCATGCATACCTACATACATTCATACACATCATACATACACACACACCCACATATACATATATAAGGGTCGTTTTTGCATTTGTGTTTCTGGGTGTGCAGGGCGCTTCATTACCTCGGACGAAGGTTAAAATGCCGCGTTCCCACCTTACTGAAAGCGCTGCCAAAGTAAAAATTACATGCACGGGCTCCTCAAAGGCGGAGCATCTATGCTGAGTGGCGAAGTCCTTTCTCTGAGTCTTGTTGCCTTGCTGGTAGCCCGTGGTGGTTGAGCCTCAGCGAACGTTGTTTTCACGAGTATTCAGCTTGTGGGAGCTTTGTGAGTGGGGGGACGCTTCCTGCCTTTGCGGCTGTAGGTGATGGATCACTTGTTGGCTAGCAGCCGTAGCGTGGAGGAGCAGCCTCTTTTGGAGGTTGAGTTTGCGGGGGAAGAAGGAGTTGGTCTTGGTCCTACCAACGAATTTTACGCTGAGGTTTGGCTGGATTTGCGACTGAGGGCTTTTTTAGGGTTCGAGGTGTTTGGGGCACTGAGGTAGAAAATCGTGACATTAGAGAATTTAGAGCCGCTGCATGCATGCGTCGCGCTGCGAAACAAGCGTTTGGAGGGGAAGGGGGCCTCGCTGCTTCCGCCAAGATCCCTCCTTGCTGGATCGCTGTTTTTCTGCTGCCCTCATAGGTTTTGGAGTCCGTGCTGACGCATAAAGATCCGGAGCTCTTTGTTAGCTGCAGCAGCAGTGGGGGTTTGTTTCCGCGAGCCTATATCACCGACCTTTCGCTTATTCCAGTAGAGATGGTTCGTCGCCCCCGTGTTTCTCCTCTGATGATGCAGCAGTCTCAGCAGCAGCAGCGCTCCAGTAGGGCAAGCACTCGGCTAGCGGGCAGCGTAGCCTCCCCTCCTGGAGAAGCGGAGAACATGGAAGAGGATGGGGGCTCCCTCAGCAGGAGCAACAGCGGCAACTTCTCCCCGCATCAAGACGCGGTGGCTGCAGAGGCGGCGGCGAGTGCAGGCTGGGGGGATTTGGAACGCGAGCTGTTCAAGCATTTCCGCCTTCTGGGGCAGCTGGCAGCAAAGGTCCTCCTAGACGGCCGCAGCAGCACCACCGACACGGGTCTGCATGCGCTCTTCTGGGAAGCTGTAGCGCGTCCACTCCTGCAACAGGAACGCCTTAGGCCTTGCAGCTGCATGCGGCCCCTTACGAAAGCAGAAGCCGACGTAGCTACGGGAGCGCAAGAAGCAGCAGCGTTGCGGTTAGGTGTCTGCAGATGCGGTTCGACGATCGCCGCTATCTCCGCCGTCGCAGCAGTAGACGAGGCCCTTGCCAAGTCGCTGCAGAAGATGATGCAGCACAGAGCTGCAGGCTTCGAAGTGGCGGATTTATCGTGCTTTTTTGTCCTCCCTCGTAGGTGTCTGAGAAACCTTCCCACGAAACGCCCCCCATGAGCGGAGAACGGGCAACCCACCCGGAATGATTCAGCGCACTTGGTTGTACTTTGCGCAGACGATCGATTAGCCCCCCAGTGCTTGTAAATAGATATGCATGCACATAGCATGCATATATAATAGACATATACAATATATCTACATAGATAATACATACATAATGACATGCATATTTAGGCGCACTCTTTTCGGCTTCTTCCACGGGGAAACAGCCAGGAGGAACGGCTTGCTCCCTTACATTTCCTGCTGCTGGCGCTGCTGCTGCTGTTGCAGACGCTGGAGGAGGCCCCCTTCTTGCTGGTTGCGGGGATGTGCTGGTCCGTAATGCTTCGCTAGACTTTTTCATTCAACGCCTTGCCTTCGTCTTACTCTTCGAGGGCATCTTTCTACAGGTACAGCACAAGTCTGCAGCGCGCTTTCCTGTGCATGCCTTTCTTCTAAAAGAGGTGCCTGTGTTTTTTGGGATGCATGCACGATGGTCTGTCCGTATCTGCGTTGGGGAGGCCGTAGCCAGCAGGAAGCCCCAGTGTGTGAATGCGGCCTTGGGTGTGCGTCTGCACGTCGATGAGTGCATTCACTCTGGCGTGGGTATACGTGTGTGCATTTCGTCCAGTATTGGTGAGGAATTACGTTGGTGAGGGCGTTTATACTGAGTCTTCTGTCGGTATCTGAGGTATGTGCATTCATACACAACCATCTGTACATCTGGTGATGCAGGTGTCTCGAATGATGTTGTACCAATGTAGGTAGCTGTGCGTATATATGCTTGTATATATATATGTTTGTGTATATGTATACATGTGTGTATATGTGTATATGTGTGTATATGTATATATGTGTGTATATGTGTATGTATATGTATATGTGTGTGTTTATGTGTATATATCTGTGTATATGCATATGTGTATATGTATATATGTGTGTATATGTATATATGTGTATATGTGTATATATATGTGTATGTATATGTATATGTGTGTTTATGTGTGCATGGGAGTAGAAAATGTGTCTGTGTGCTGACGGCTGTGTAGATTTGCGCGTGTGTGCATGTATACATAAGGCGAAATGCCATCGGCGAGCAGTTTTTGTAAAGCACCGTGTGGCTCGCTTTGTGCTGAAGGCTTCTGCTTTTCGCTTGGGCTTTGGATCTTTTTGCCCCCTCTCCGCCCTTTCTCCACTGCTGCCTCTAGAAGTTTCCTCAGTGTTGTTTGGAGATAGAGAGCGAACTCGGCAAGACCACTACTGGACCCTCGCACACCTCCGGGCACACATTGCACCGGATCACGGGTAAGCTGAACGTGCATGCATGCGTGCATGCATGGAAGAGGAAAACGGAGTGGCATAAGCAGAGAGAGAGAGAGAGAGAGACAGACGGAGAGAGAGAGAGAGAGAAAGAGAGAGAGAAAGAGAGTTGAAAGAAAGCGGGCAGTACCCTTGGCAGCAGGAGGAGGCAGACAGATGATATAGCCCTAGAGGATCGGGTGTCAGTTACTATCATATCACGTCATGAGAGCAACCAACTTAGCCTACAAAGCTCAAATAAGTAGAGATAGGCAGGCAGAAACTGTAACGGAGGCAGAGAAGGGCAAGGTTTGCTGCATTCCTACTTGGCCGCAGCTTCATGTGCAGAAAGGCATTTGGGCCGTGTTGGTGCTTGCGGCGCTTCATGGTGTTGTTATTCGTCCTGTAAAATTGCTGTATGTTATCTGCTGGATAATGGTGTAAGCCTGATGCGGTCAGTGTGCCCCCCCCCCCCCCCTCCACGTGTCCTGTGTGTGATCTGGGGTTTTGTTTTTTCTCAAGGTTCACAACGTCGAGTGTAGTGTACGGCCACTTTCTGGAGGTCCTCGTCGAATTTAATTCGGTGCAGCGTGCGGCTTTTCTCAAGTTTGTTACCGGTTCGACCATCCTTCCTGCAGGGGGCTTCGCTGGCTTTAGGTTCGTTCCTGTTTCGCACGCTGTAGCATCTCAGCGCCCGCTCCTTTATATACATATATATATATATATACATATACATATATATATACATATATTTGTATCCAAAAGTGTTTTTTCTATGCAATTGCACGAGGAAGCCCAGTGTCGTGGCCCTCTTCAACAGACAGGCGGCTTTTAAGCTATTGGTTTCTCTCTCTCACTGAGAGGGGCGGAGGTAGCTACTAGCCTACTTGAACTTGCGAGCAAGTGAACAGAGAAAAGGTACATGCGTGGTTGCCCTGCGATTCGGTGTTTCAGACCGCTTATGAAGGTGGTAAGGAAGCTGCCGACGTCTGGAAGCGGAGGCAGCGACGGCTTGCTGCCTAGCGTTATGACCTGCAGCAATTACATCAAGCTGCCGGACTACTCCTCCAAACAAATCCTAAAAGAAAGGCTCCTGCTAGCCTTGGCTGAGGGGCAAGGCGCCTTTACACTGTCCTAGCAGAACAGCCACCAAACTACGGGGCTAATATTCTCTAGGCTTACCCCATGCGATCCCTCTTGCTGGCTAGCTTGGTAGACGGGAGTCTACTTCTCTAGGCTTGGCTAACTGGTTTGAATTAAAAACATTTACACCCGTTTTGCCGTGTGAGGCTCTGCGGGCCTCCAACGCAAGGGCCGAGCGTTGGCTTCACTCTGCTGTCGCGAAGCGGAGCAAGCGCGTCTCAGAGTTCATCGGTGCTTTGCCAAATCCCAAGTACAAGCAATGGCCAGCGGCTGTGCCTTAGCCGGAGAACCAGGCGTGTACACGTAACAAATAGAGTGCGCACCCAGTATTCGTTATATGTACTCTTCAAGATTGATGGATACATTATTAGGTGTCTCAAAAAAACACCGAATTCGCGATGTGCATGCATACCCTCTCGTACGTACACTTGAACAAGGACGTATACGTGAATAGGTGACTCTCAAACAACACGGAATTCGCAAGGTGCATGCATACCCTCTCGTACGTACACTTGAACAAGGACGGATACGTGAATGATGTATCTCAAACAACACGGAATTCGCAAGGTGCATGCATATTCCCCGTACTCGCAGACATGGCAACTAATGCTCGTGGTCTGCCACGGTAGACGCGTTAAACCTGGGTAAACGCGCGGTGTAGCTGCAACTGCTGCTACTCCTACCGTCGTTGCCAGTCTTGTTGATAGGGTAGTGCTGCATTCAGTACGGTACTCAGTAACATCTGCTGGGGCAGCGGCGTTTTCTGCCACTCATGGTGTTTACATGGTGGTTCAGCAGCTGCCTTTATTAGGCCCTCATTTGTGCACTCCAGCAGCAGCAGCGGCAGAGAAATGTATGCAGGCTCTACGTTTTGTGAGTGTAGGAGGCCACTATACACCACACGCCAAGACCGATGAAGGCTCCAGCCATGCCTCCGAAAAGGACGAATGTATATGGATTGGTATACCAGTTGAACATCCCCCGGGTATGTCGAGACTCAGGCAAGGCCCAGGGGCCTGGCAGGACAGAGAGACAAACAAATACATCGGAGGTCGATGGGTTTCAAGAGACAGCCAGCTGAACCAACACGGGCATTCGAGGCAGCTATTAGGGCCTCTTTTGCAACGTGGAGCACTAATTCTGTTTCAATGCATGGGTGTGAGGAACAGAGGGGCTTGCCTCCCGACCAAAGGTACCGAGTGCAAGGGAAGAATCGATATACAGTGGGTAAGCACTGCATGAGCTGAGGGCTTACCGTACTGCAGGAAGGCTGGCGCGTCACCTGCTTCAAAGGGGGCAGGGGGTCGAGCTGTTGCGTCTGTTGCTGCCACTGCTTTCCTATCTGATGTGTTCGGATGCTGCTGTTGTTGCAGAAACGACGCCATGGCAAGCGGCATTCCGCCGCTGCTGCTGTGGCGCACTGAAGGGATATTGTCAGAGTGCTTCACTGCATGTGGCTGTAGCGGCTTGTTGCTGATAGCTTGAGCTGGCGAGGCAGCACTGAGCACTGCCAACAAGGCCAGGGCCACAAGCAGTAGCGCCTTCGTCGCCAGCGGCTGCTGCTGCTGCATCCCCGGGATCCCCCTCCATCCCATCCCCGCCTTTTTGCGCTTAAAATATACGTGTGCAGCCTATCAGACGGATCTCCGTCTGTGGAGGCTTCCACTTGGAGTGTGCGAAGCGGCCTCCTCGCTGAAGGGGCCTCAGCAACGCCGCCTGCGGCTGGCGCAACCGCTGGAGCTTATTCGACCAGAAGCCTGTTAAACATATGTTTTCAGGTGAATAAGAAGGCCGGAAGAAAAGCAACGTTCTGCCTGTCTCCCTAGTTGGCGTGGCAACAAATGCTCGTCCTCTGCTCATGGAGCCATGCGGTGCCTCCACACCTCCGCCTTAGACAGAGAATGCCTTAACTAAATAATGCTTCAAAAACAAAACTAATGCAAAATCAATGTACGGAGAGAGAAGAGAGAAAGACAAATACACAAACTGTCTGCACTCACTCCCAAGGCGCTGCCGACAGCCCAGCGCGCTGTGGCGACTGTAAATGTACCACACATGGCGATGCCCTTCCACAGAGCGTTGTTTTTCCTTATTTGAGCGCCGGAAGAAGCGCTTCCCTAGTAAAATGTAAACATTCGGGCCACGTCCAACCGCTTAAAAGGTGTATGGATCCACGGAACCCACCAGCGTCCCCTCCAACCGCTCCTGCAACGGCATCAACGTGCAACGGCGAAACAACGCTTCATTGCATAAGCGCCCGAAAACAGAGTCAAAAGGCACATTATTGATCCTGGCTGTACGATCTGCGTTGGTCCTTCTGTGCAATATGGCTCATGGGAAGCCATGCAAGCTGATCCTGCAGCCATTCACGAGCATATTACGAGGCATACTGCACATCAGCAAGGTCCTTCCTTACTCCTGCCCTTTGTGGTTAAGCTGCCTCTCTTCGCTCTGGCAACTCAACGCTCATGGCCGCTACTGGGGTCTTGTCCGAAGCATATTTTGCATTCTTGACTGATGCCTTAAATTTCCGCATTCACCAGCGTGGGCGGCGTGCGCAGCAAGCTGCGCATTTAGACATTAGCCCGTAGACATGCCACGTCTTGCTAGCACTTAGGTCAGGACCTAATATAGTTTTGTTTCGAACTCACAGTGTGCTCGTTGTGCAGCTGCATGGGCTGCGCACGAGACGCGCCATGCCGTGTGCTAGATTACTGCATACGACTGCATGCGGATGCCTGGCTTACCCAGAGGGTGCTGCAATATACATCCAAGCTACCCTTCCTCTCTAAACCCCCAGAACCCAGTGAACATAGTGCAAGGAAAATTGTACAGCTATGCTTGGGGCCATACAAAAATACTGCATTGAGTTTCAGTACGATTTTGGCGAAGGGTCTCTTCACAAAGAACCTTGGAGGAGTGCTTCGATGCGCATGCAACATGTGACGCCTCCTCTGCCCACGAGTAAGCAACCCAGTAGCAGCACTGTTATGCCGCATGTATCCAAAGTCCTGCAGGAAAAAGTAGCCGGGCCTACTTGTGGGGCTTTGGCCCAGTGTGGGGAACGAAGCTCCAGGCTGTTGAACGCTAGCAATACTACTGAAGCAGCGCAGCCTCTGGGGTGCCTCACTGCAGCTTGGCTTCAAGTGTTATGAGCTCCAAAAACACATGGGAAGGAAACGAGGCAACCGTTTGTGTAAAGGGCCAACACCTGAGCACTTTCTACTACACCTGAACATTCAACTAAGAATTACTTAGAATCGAATAACTGGCATGTTTATTCATATGACGTATGTATTGCAGAGGAACGGAAGCTCAATATAACACGACGCCATGTGTATGCGCACTTGATGTTATGTGAAACTAGCTACGAACGGTCAGGATGTTTCGAGGGTTCAACCATGCGTAGCCTAGCTTTCGCTCTCCCCCTATTTCGAAGACTTACAAAGGCGTGGACAGGTGAGTGAGAGAGTGCTTTTGGAAAACACTCTAGAGTATTCTGTCAAGTTTGTACCCTAGTCGGGAGGTATGTGCGTTTCTTTGGACAACAAAGATGGGGCGTTACAGTCTGCATTCGGCTGCCCTCAACAAGAGAGCCCAGTTGATCCTTCAGTGGAATCAACTGACTGCAAGCTCGCTGCTCTCAGTCCTTCCAAAAGCACACCCTTAGTAATACAATAGCAGGAGCACTGAATCAGCACGGTAAAAAATTGCGTTTTCGCTTCTAATGCACATCCTGTTACTGTCCATCTTTTTAAAAAAAAACCAAGCTCCCCGGTTCAAGTAGGCAGAGGCAGCAGAAAAAGCCACTTTGCAGAGCAGCATCTCGAGCAAAAAAGGGTCCTAGTCCCCCCTCCGTCTCGCGCTGGCCTTGTCTCAGTGTGTCACCTCCTCTGCAGCACCGCTACGGAGGCTGTGCGCGAGAAATACTCGTACTGGATCGCACTTTTAGCTGCCCCGTGTTCTTCAGACCACAATAAATCTGCCTTGAGTTCCAATAACGGTAATGCGCATGCATGCTGAAGCCTGTAAAATGGCTGACGCACAGCATAAGCCCAGTTTGTTCGCTTGGCCATGCGTGCCTCCTTGAGAAGCATGGCCATGTACGACGAAAATTGGAAAGCGGTGCCGAACCCGATTCGCTACTGCGACTGCGAATAATCTGCGTGGCACTGCCGCCTTCGCTGGATGCACAGCGTTGCCTGTTATTACTTTAGGTCTACTAAAACAAGCAATTGTCAGAGGATCCTATCCCGAACGCAGCCATTCGCTGATTCGTTGCCGAAGAGATGTACTCTTGCGCTCCTCAGATTCTGCTGCTCCAGAGGGAGCTGAAGCTTCAGCAAAGGCACAAACAAAACATACGCTAAACGCATGAAGGCGCAGTAGCGTCCTCAGATTTTCTAGAGATTGTTTACACATGCCTCAGTAGCTGTTGCACAGACCAGTTAGAGCCAGCGAAACAGCAGTACGGCAAGCGACAGGTGTGAAGACGGGGGCAAATCCCTCAAGCGTGCCATGTGGGCGTCTGACCTGGAGAACTTAGGTGCTGTATCTTCCGGAGAAGATGTGCTGCTGCTCCGAGAACTGCAACAGGGAAACCACAGAAGGCAGGCAAAGCCGAATGAGTGTCGCACCACCAAACATACTCAGGAGCAAACTCCGAGTCTTCGAGACATCCTGTCGCAGCTGCATAGCTGGCGGTCCGAGAAGTTGAGCGCAGGCGATGACAAAAAGAACTCAACACGACGGAGGGGGTGGGAAAGGGGGGAAGAAGAGAGAGGAGGAAGCAGCCCCTTACCTTCAAGTGATTCGGAGTGGAGCCTGCAGCCGCGCAGTCCCCGATGGATGCCCTCCAAAAGCTGATCCGCGGATACAGAGCTTGTTACTGCTCTTGCGACCTCTGCAGCAGCTGCTGCTGCCTGAGAGAAATTGTCTCCACCATCTACAACTGCGGCAGCTGCCTGATGCTGCTGCTGCCTCCCGGCCTCCAGAAGCAGTACGTGGCACTGCAGTAGCACAAGCACCTGCAAGGCGGGAGCAGCACGCAACACCGCGATTCCCCCCTGTGCTACATCGCCAGTGAAGATCCTCCTTCAAGCGGTATCACAGTTGCAAGCTCTTCTGCGGCAAGTGAAGCTATTACATCCGTCCTCTGGCATTCTATATTGGTAAAAAGGGTACCTTCGACCTGTATCAGCAGCAGCACCTAAAGCCGGCTAACCTGTTCTGCAGTTAAGAGGCCTGCTGGGGTTGCCGCTGCGGTTCGGCCGTTGCAGCGAGAGATAAACTCAGCAGCGGACTCGTATAGCCGGCCTAGGAGAGCGTAAAGGTTCCAGTGAGCCTGAGCAGCGCATTAGTGCATGCCAGCGTAGATAGTAAAGAAATTGCAACAGCCGCATGTGCAGATGAAGTGGCGGTCAAGGCACCCCCCCCGTGCACCAGCAGATGGCACCAACGACCGCGGCAAAGGAAAATGAAGCTAGCCATTTCCCAGACACATAGCAGAAACGACAGGAACGACAGTAGCAGCAGCAAGGGTTCTCCGGGCAGCAGGAGGTTTGAGCACTTTGGCACCTGCAAGACGTTGATGCCCGGACGCTGTATACAGCGCGCAAGAGCCGCAGCAGCAAGGACCAAACTCTCAACGTGGCGTTTCATCAAAACAGTTGCTGCCTGCTCTCCGTGCTGCTGTGATAATGCGCCTGCTGTCGCCGCAAGGACTGCCTCCCCTGTAGCCTGGAGCATCACGACTGTCTCTCCTAGCATCTTCAGTGACTTCGAGCTGCAGCAGAGGGGTGCCTGTTGTTGTGCTGTGGCTCCTTCAGCTGCCGGCCCTTCTGTTGCACTAGCTGGTGCTCCTTCTGCCTCATGGGCAGCAGCGATGTGCTCATCTAGCTGCGGCAGCAAATAAAACCGTAGCAGCCATTAAAGAGGAGCATCCGAAGCATGCATGTGCAACTAGAGCAGCGAAAGGCAGCATCAGACTGCAGCAAAAACAACACAACGCGCACGTACTGCCTGGCTAGCAGCTCCGGCCCTAGACACCGCAAACATCACTTCCTGCTGCAACGCAAGGCGCATCTCGACGTCGTGTTGCTGCTGCTGTACTCCTTGAATGTGTAGCACCAGCTGCTCTGACAAAGCGGTAACAAGCCAAGTTGCAATGGCAGGGCGGTGCAGCTGGCGTAAGAGAGGCGTAGAACAAAGAGAGTCTGAGAGCATAACCAACGAGCACAAACTGCTGCTCGAACCCCTGTCACGTGGCTGCAGTTGTTGCATGCTTTGTGCAACCGCCAGTAGCAGGGCATCTACGAACATCCCCAGATCCAGCTTCTGCTCCTGTTGTTCTTGCTGCGGCTGTATCCGCGAGCCAGAACCCTCCACGAGCTTTACTGCGTGCTGCAAAAGCAGGAGCTGTTGGCGCAAATCGCAAGCGGGCAGAACCTCCCGGCATACATACAGCAGAAAGCCCCGAAGTTCCTCCTGCTGCTGCTCCTGCCATTGCACGGCACCTAGCAGGAGCGCTTGATGCAGCAGCCGCAGCAACTGCATCTCCGAATCCGTTGTTTTTCCTGCTGTCGCTGCTGCTGCTGCTGCTATTGGTGCTCCTCCAGCAGGAAAGTCGCCCTCGGTAAGACTGTCCACTTCCGCCGTTCTGCCAACTGCCGCTGTTAACGCCGTGCGTATTGCAGCTCTGCAAGCAAATGGAGAGGAAGCGTCGGGTCGAGGTAAGGGGCGCAAGGAGCCTTGCACGTGGTGGAGACGCTGTTGTTGAGGTTGCAGCTGATCCTGCCGCTGCTGTTGCTGCAATCGGCTCCAGAGCTTTGTGAACGTCTGCTGTAGCGACGCGGCAGCAGCAGCCAGTTCGTCTGGAAAGCGTCTCATTAGCTGCTCCTGGTGGCTATTTTGTCGCTGTTGCTGCTGCTGCAACCCCGAGAGGGTCCTCGAAAGGAGCTCTGGCATCATGCAGTCGGAGATTTTCTCCGCATCCCCCACAGCTTCTTCTCCCCGTGCTGCTGCTGCTGCTTCCTTTCCTGTGGCACATGCCTCAGCCTGTACGCCTGCGGAGACTCCCCATGCATGCAGCCTCACGAGCGCCTCTGCCGCTTCTTCCCACTGGCTAGCGAAAGCGAACAGCTCCTCTGGCCCCCTTTGCAGGAGGTTCTGCAGGCTCTGTGGGCTTTGCACAAGAGCCGCGCAGAGCATTCCCTGCACGCCAAGAAGAACGTTCTGGAGAAGAGGCGTTCGCTGCGCCTGCATGCTCAAGGCAACGGCAACAGCACACCACGCCGCTAGATGCTGCTGTTGATGCAAACCATCGGCGGGGCTCAGATGCTGCTCGGTGGCTGCTTCAGCACGTCTCGCAGCAGCAGCAGTAGCAGCAGCAAGAAGGTATTCAAGTGCCGCGGTTCTCGCGTCTCCTCCTGAAGAGGCTGCTGATGCAGCTGATGAGCGCAGGATGGCAGCTGCGAGGACCACATGCGGACTGCTCGTGATGCTGCGTGTGAAGCCTGCCCGAATAATTGTTGCTGCCGCTTCTTGCAGCAGCCTTTGCAGCTTTTCATCGGACGCTTGCTGCAGCGCGTGTACCAGCACTAACGGTGGCAGCAGCAAATATTCTTGTTGCAGCAACAGGGGCCTTAGCAGCAACAGTGCGGTCTCAAAAGCCCTCTGTCTCTGATCTTCCGCTTGCTGGGGCAGCAGCAGCAGCTGCCTCTCAAGCAGCTGCAGCTGCTGCTGCTGCTTCAACCCGCAAATAAAGGCGCGCGGCTGCAGTAGCAGCGCGTATTGGAGGAGCCGGGTAACTGTGTGGACCTTGTTGTCTCCCTTCTGCTGCAGGTGCAGAGCCTCATGCTGCAGCTGCTTGTCGGCTGTCTTGTAAAAGGCTTCAGAAAGCGGCAGCAGTAGCGCTGGAGGCAAAAGCTGTTGATGAAACGCACGGAGCGCAGCCTGGATGCAAGCGACAGGCGCAGCCGCTATGGATGCCTCCACGGCCAGTAGCGTGGAAGCGACCCCTGCTGCTGCTGTTGGAGTTGTTGCTGCTGCCGCATCGCCTTTGCTCTTGCGACGCTGCTGCTGCTGGTGCCTCTCGAAGCCGCGACAAGCGGTGACAAGCTGGCTAAGGGCCTCTTGAGCTGCCCGATCGGACGGGAAGCACGAGGCCACTTGATGCAGAGGATGCGGCTGCTCTGGCTGCTGCGGCTTAGGCCTCAGTGGAGAGACATGTGTGCTGCTGTTTCGACGAAAAGAGGAGCGCAGCAGATGCAGGAGGGGCCCTATGTGGGGGCTGCCCCCTCCGAAGGTGCCACGAGCACCTGCAGCAGCGAGCATCGATCGTGGATTCATCTCTGCAGCGAGCTGCAGATCTCTTTCCAGATTCCGCTGCTTAATAGGAAGATTCGTGCTTCATCTTTGCCGTACATATCCCTACAGTTCGAGCTGCTGATCCCTCTATTTCTGCTGACTTCGCCTCTGAGGGCGGCCGCCCCCGGCAAGACTCGAGGGGCCCCTGCAGGGCCCCCCCCCGCACAGCACTGCCTCAATAGTTCGGATTCGGATTCGAAATTTCGGATTCGTTTGTGCTCTGGCTCGCAGAGATCGCATTAATTGGCGTCTACGAGGTTGCTGGGGAAATCTTCTTGTCTGGCTTCTGCAGGGAGGGGGGAGACATGGGGGGGAGGAGGGGTTCGGGGGTGCTTGTACTGTATAGGAATAAAGCCTTGGTCTTAAACTTGATATACTCCGTGTTGACCTCTAGGGTGACCTGTGTCTCGTCAGAGCTAGAATCTGCTACTCAAAGTGTTAGGCTTGTGCCAACGGGAGATACTGGCGCTGCAGCGCAGAGCGAATGATGACGCGGACCATACGTGATGCCGAGCACTTGTCGATTCCCCATGACGCTCACAGACCCCAGCAACTAGAGAATAGATGATTTTGTATCGAAAGCGTAGGTAGTTCTCCCATCCGCGCGCTCCGTATCAGTAGTGATCGCATTCCCCAGACTCACTACCATGCAGCAATCCACCACCACCTTCTTTGAAAACCAAAGAAGCGTACGGCCTCCACAGGAAACCAACGCCCAGTTACACCTACAGTCCTTTTACCGTGAATGCTTAATCCTCGGTTAGGGCTCTCTCGTAACCATACAAAGAAGCATCGCAAAGGATGCGCACTCTAAACATGAGGGGCAGGCAACCTGCAACATGAGTAGTTTCTTTCACGGACAGCTGAAAACGGAGAGTGTATCGGGGGATTACGCAGTGAAGGTAATGCAGAAAGCTTCCACTGCAGTTCGCAATCCACAGCGGGGTGCGGAATTAAAGCCAAGCCACAGATCTGCTGGCTAGCCGTGCAGAGGCCGACCCCTTAACACGGGCGTTATGCATGTGCCTTCCCGAGTGGTACTGCCACAGGAAGCTTGTGGACATGTTTTTGCAGTCCCACAACTCCGTTCTTCCCAGGCGTAGCAGCATTACCAACTGACACCGCTGTTGCTTCATCTGCCGTGAAGAATCGCTATATTTACAAAGCCTCCATAAAACCTATGACTTCTCTACACATGGCAGCTCCAGCAACACCTCCTTTCGCTAGCGCTGCCGTGATTCATGCAAACGCCACTGCTCGTCATTTGGTGCGCGGACCGGAAGCTGCAGCAGCTGCTCGTGAAGTGCAAGTACTGGCTGTTGAGGCGTGAGCTCAGACTCGTTCCTGCTCCACCCACGTCATCTGAGCGTGCAGCACTGCTCACCATGCACATCATTTGGTGTAGCCGCCGCTTCTCCCTGCCTGTATTGCCCCTCTAAGGCTACTATCTTTGTTGCCACTCCCATGGCTCCGTCTACGGGCAGAGCCCAGTCTGACGACCTTGCGGGGTGCCACTGACCCTCTTGCAGTTGCTGCTGTTACCTCCTTCCAGCAAGTGTACTGCCGTCTCGACGGGAGGCACTCAAGCACCAGCGAAAGCAAGAAGCCTCAGCGGGAAAACTTTGCCGCTGCATTGCGGATTCCGCTAGGGATCCCTCCCTATCCAACGCGCAACAGCACCTGGCCGCTACACCGGAGGAAAGGGCACGAAAGAATAATGATGCGCCTGCTTCTCTCGCTGCAGACGCTTTTGTAGCCGCTGGCGCACGCAGTGGGGGGAAGGAGACGCTTTCAAACCATACACAGTTGCGCACCGACGGCAGGCAGCACTCACCAGCTGAGCGTAAACCACATCCGTTGAGATTTAGGCCGTGTGTGTCTGTCTGTCTGTCTGTGTATCTGTCTGTGTATCTGTCTGTGTATCTGTGTGTGTCTGTGTGCCATGAGTTCATGGCGTCTAGGAGCTGAAGAGCTTCTGAAGCTTTTTAGAAGAGAGATATCTCATCAGTTCTTAGGGCTATCCAGTGAGGACGGCCTGCAGCAGGCTGTTTCGGTGCTCTCCTCACGACGTTGCTCATCCGCCTCACCGTCGTTTCCTTTCTGCTTGTGTGGCTGCTGCCACTGCTGCTGCTCCTGCTGCTGCTGCTGCTGCTGCTGCTGCTGCTGTTTCCGGGAAGGAGGCACATTATCAAGTCCCCAAACAGCAAAAGAGAGAGCAGACGAATGTGGGTAGTAGCCTGCTGGCCAGGCTGCAAAGGCGCTGTGGAACCTAAAGAGCGCCTTCGGTGCATCTTCTTCACACCGCAGCGGCTCCAAAATCTGTAGCCTGGGACTAAGGAAGCCGTTCTTGCTGCTGACGATCCGAGGGTTCTGCAAACGTGGAGCGGTCGCTGCTGTTGCTGCTGCGGCTGCTGCAGCAGTGGCTGCCGTTGCTGCCGTAGCTGTTGACGCTGCTGCTGCAGTAGCTGTTGCTGCTGCAACACCGATGAATTGTTGCTACCGCCTTCTACAGCAGCAAAGTTGCACGTTCTGCGCCTTGCGAGGAATTTTTGAGGGATGCGGATGTTGCAGCCATCTTGTGGCTGCTGTTGCTGCTGGCCGCGACGGGCGAACTGTGTTGGCTGCTGCCACTACTGCTGCCGTCGTTCCACAAGTAATGCCGAGGTAGCGAAAGGTGATGATTGGCTTTTGGAGACCACAATCCTGCGACTGCTGCGCCGGGTGCTTCACCAACGGTCATCACACGCCTGACGTGTTGCTGGTGAGCTGCTGGTGGTCCCTCTGCGGAAGGGGATCCTGCTGCTGCTGCTGATGCTTCGTCTTTAAAGAAGGTACTTGCCGACGCCAGCGAGAGATGCCGCTGCTGATTTCGCTGGTGATGCTGCTGGTGGTGCTGCTGCTGCTGCTTCATCTGCTTGCATGCAAGCAGCAGTCGGCGGTGAATCTTCGCCTCCGAGGCAAGGAACGCTCGTGCGGCGTCATCTCCTGCTGAAGCCGATGATGAAGGTGCTGTTGTCGATGGGCTGCCCGCTGTGTCGTGGCTGTCTCCGCGCAGGAAGTCTGCGCATGCAAGGGCAGCGGTGGCTGGCGCTGCTGCTGCTGCTGCTGCTGCGGGGGAGGGGGGGGAGGAGTCGCTGGCATCAGAGTCACCGAAAAATGCCTGGGGAAGTCGAACCTTGGGGTCTGCTGTGGCTTGTTCTGCTGCTGCTGCTGCTGCTGCTGCTGCTGGGCAGCAGGAAGCTCGTGCATCATCGCTGTCTGCTTGCTGCTGCGCGTCGGCTCCCTCCCCGGCGTCTCCTCCGTCCGTGCTGCTGCCGCAGCTGCTGCTATTACGATTGCTGCTGCTTTTGCATGCCAGCCGTCTGTCTGCGCAAGGTAATCTTACGGAACGGCGGTGCTGTAGCAACGGCTGCTGCTGCTGCTCCTGCTGCTGCTGCCGCTGACGGAGAGAGGGCAGCTGCAGGGAACTTAAGCGGTCCCTCATGGCTGGCTGCAAACCGACGTGCCTAGCCCTCTGCCCTTCTTTCCAGCAGTGCAGCTGGACGCTGCTGCTGCTGCTGCTGCTGCTGCTGCTGTTACTGCTGCATCCTAAGGGGCCAAATTTGTTGGGATGCCTCCTCGACGTAAGCCGCCTAGCTGCTTCTCTTTCTTCCTCACGCTGTTGCTGGCCGTTTGGATGACTGTGCTGCTGTTTTTGTAGCTGTTGTTCTCCCTGGCTGTGCATCCGCTGCTGCTGCTCAGAGCGCCATCTGCCTACGCAACTAGTTCTTTCCCGCAGCAGCCGAGACACCTGCGGTTGCAAATAACCCACCAGAGAGTCCGCAGCAGCAGCAGCAACTGCGGTTGCTGCTGCATTTGCTGCCGCTGCTCGCCTTGCCTGCGCCTCCAAATGCTTCTTGTGATGCAGCTGTTGCTGCTGCCTCAGGCGCGCTGCGCATCTAATTTTCCTCAGGAACAACAATAACGGCTGTAACACTTCCTCCCGCATAGCTGCGCATGCAAACAGCAGCAGCAGTGACTACAGCGCTGCGACAGCAAGCCCACGCCTCGGCAGTCCTACACTGGAGGCTTTACCAAGACGCATACAGACAGCTGCACACCACGGATCGAACGTCCCCGCATGCACATGCGATGCGGCTCATCACCTAGCCGCCAAGTTCACCTGCATCCCACCCTCGCAGCAGCAGCAGCAGTAGCCACGGCTCCTTACTGGCAGGTTCTAGACCAATAGCGTGATCGGCGTGCAGCGGCATGTGTGAAACTCTCAGAGCTGCTACAGGGGGAGTGCGCGCGAGCAGACGGCGGGAGTGAGACACCGAAATCACTTCGTCCTGCAGTAACAAACAAGGCAGCCAAAGCGGCAGCATGCGAAGGAAGCGCTCTCGGCTGCAGCACACGCCAGAGATCTACACACTGAGCACCCAACCCATGGGTAGTCACGAAGCGAGAGTGGCATGCCAGCACAAACAGGAGCATCTCCAGCCACTGCAGCAGCAGCAGGCACGATTTGCGTGCCCCTGTATGCCACCACCAGGCAGCAGTGCATGCAACACAGCAGGCAAGCACTCAACACTGTCGCAGCAGAAGCTGATTTAGACGGACTTCCTGCCCATGAATGATGCAAAGCGGGAGACCTTGGCACTGCTGAAGAGCCTCTTCGGTATCCCAGTGGTGCGTAACAACAAGCCGCGCAAAAGACTCGGGCAGCTCCGCCATATCTGCTGCCAAAGCCTACGGCACAAGCAAGGCAACCTCGAAAATGAGGATATTAGGCTTCAGCTTGGCAACAAAGGGGCAGTCAAGGGCGTTTCCCCGTCGTTGCATACATACATAGATACATATTACACATAGTATGCATATTATACACACATAGACACATAGTATACATAGTATACATAGTATACACACATAGATACATATTATGCATATTATACACACACAGATACATAGTATGCATATTATACATATTATGCATATTGTACACACACAGATACATATTATGCATATTATACACACACAGATACATATTATGCATATTCTACATATTATACATATTGTACACACACAGATACATAGTACACACACTATACACACACAGATACATATTATGCATATTATACATATTATACATATTGTACACACACACATGCATAGTATACATATCATACACACACAGATGCATAGTATACACATTATACACACATAGATACATAGTATACATATTGTACACACACATACTGTGCATTACGGGAGTGCGCAGCAGACTGCAGACGGGTCCAGGAAGGAGACATAGGTGGATGTGGGGGGCAGAATGACACACGCAGCCAGAAACACACGGCGTGAGCCTGCATAGCCAGTAGAGTGGTGCTGCTGCTGGCCTATGATCGTGCGATGCCATGGAACCCCTAAAACCATCGTCGAGTAACGCTTGCCATCAATTCTTGAGTGCGCATCCCATTGAGAAAACTAGACATATAAGTGCGCTAGAAAAACTCCATCCGCTCCTCGGGATAAGCATCTATCTGCTCGCCATGGAGCAGTGCGTAGAGACAGCGCGAAGCCGCTCCGCCTTACAGCTAAGGAAGCGAAGGGGGAAATCAGCACGAGGCCACCCAACTGAAGATTACACTTTGCCAGTCGAGAAGCTAGAAATGCTGCAGGCCCTGTTCCTATGGATCTGAAAACACACCGCATGCCTTGGGCATTATGAATACCTTCTCTGGATTTCCCTGCTGCATTTAGAGGGGGGCAGTCTATCCACACGTGTATATGCATGTGTATATGCGTATGAATGTGTGTATATGTATATATGTATGGGTATATGTATGTGTATGTGTGTATATGTATGGGTATATGTATGTGTATGTGTGTATATGTGTGTGTATATGTATGTGTATGTGTGTATATGTATGTGTGTGAAACATGTAGCGCCATACAGTTGGGGAGGGCGTCTGAAGGTCCTGCCGCGAGTTCACGTCTACAGCATATGTATGCTCAAGATAAGACTACAGGAGAGTGTAATGCCACACCTTCCGCAGAGTATGATCTTTTCTGGAGGAAAGCGTAGCTGCTCCACAAGGAACTCTAAGGCAACCTTTGCGCATCGGTCGATGCCAGAAGACGAAGACGGCAAGCCAGAGAGGAGACCGTAACCAGGATACTCAAAAACAAGAATCGGGAGTCCTAGCTGCAGAAGGCAACGCAAGGAAGATGGCGGATGCTCGAACTCAAGGAACAGACGCGTCGAGTCTGCGCCGCTTGCTTCCCCTCTGCCTTACGAGCCGACCTTACACCCCCTCCCCCTCCCGCAGGGAAGGACAAAAAAGACACAGTCTGGTGGAGCTTCGTGCAGGTGCAAGCAAATCGAAAAGAAGAAGGAGAGGCAGAAGAAGAGGAATAGGAGAGGCAGAACAGGAGGAATAGGAGAGGCAGATGAAGAGGAATAGGAGAGGCAGAAGAAGAGGAATAGGAGAGGCAGAAGAAGAGGAATAGGAGAGGCAGAAGAAGAGGAATAGGAGAGGCAGAAGAAGAGGAATAGGAGAGGCAGAAAAGGAGGAACAAGGAGAGGCAGAAGAAGAGGAATAGGAGAGGCAGAAGAAGAGGAATAGGAGAGGCAGAAGAAGAGGAATAGGAGAGGCAGAAGAAGAGGAATAGGAGAGGCAGAAGAAGCAGCGCGGGCATGCAGCATGGCAGAGAGCAGAGATCTAACCCACGGCTGAAGCTGAAAGAATGTAGAAGCAGCAGCAAATGCATTCATGCGGTTCAGTGTAAGTCCACATAGGGACACCGCATAAAGGGACGGCAGTACGCCGTTATTCTACCGACAAGCAGCAGCAGTAAGAAACAGCAGCAGCAGTGAGAAGCAGTAGGAGGTAGCAGCAGTAGCAGTAAGAAGCAGAAGTAGCAGTGAAAAGCAGTAAGAAGCAGCAGTAAGAAGCAGTAAGAAGTAGTAGCAGTAGCAGTAAGAGGCAGTAGGAAGTACTAGCAGTAGCAGTAAGAAGCAGTAGGAAGTAGTAGCAGTAGCAGTAAGAAGCAGTAGGAAGTAGTAGCAGTAGCAGTGAGAAGCAGTAGGAAGTAGTAGCAGTAGCAGTAAGAAGCAGTAAGAAGTAGTAGCAGTAGCAGTGAGAAGCAGTAGGAAGTAGTAGCAGTAGCAGTAAGAAGCAGCAGTAGCAGTAAGAAGCAGTAAGAAGCAGTAGCAGTAGCAGTAAGAAGCAGCAGTAAGAAGGATACGGGGCATAGCGCGCGCACCTCGTCTGCAACGACTTGTAACCATCCCCTGACCATATTGGCGTCGCATGCATTTCCATGGAAATAGAGCATGCAATACTCGCTGCCACTGCCTCCAGTCCTTGTCTCCTCCATATCCCAGTAGCCAGATCCCCGCGTTGGTGCTGCTGCAGTGTCTGCTGCTGCAGCCGCCGTGGCTTCAACAACAGCATCGGCTGCAGCAGCAACAGCGGCTTCTGCTTCTGCCTCTGCGGCAGCTTCGGCTTCCGCAGCTGCTGCATCAGCAGCTGTTGCTTGAAGGTCCGTTGAGACATCTGCTTCTGCTTCATCCCCATCCGCTGAGGCTGCCTCGCGGGGGTCGCGTCGGCGCAAGACGCGCTGCTGCTTCTTTTGGCAGTGAAGCTGTTGCAGCAGCAGCATGTG